TGTGCCTGCACTGCAAACAAATGCTCACTTTCGCCAATCAGGTAGAGGTGATGTGAAGCATCAGTGTTCCCACTCAACATTAATACAAAAAGGCTGGAAGGCATAGAATTTCAAAATAGCCCCAGCAGAAAATGTACCTTCTAGATAAACTGAGGCATTACAATCCTAGCTGCAGGTCATCAATTTTCATCAATTACTTTTTGTTTAGTTGATGCACATTACAGGACAGCTTCAAACTGGCATTGGAAGTTGGGTCTACAGAGAGGATCATCAGGGCTGTTCTTCCCTCCATCCAGGACCTGTTCAGATCTAGGGTCAGGAACAGGACAGCTAACATCTCTACAGACCCCACACATCCTGGAAATAAGCTGTTCATTTACCTTCCAGTTCTGGACGCAGGACTCACACCTTCAACAAAGTCACATCTCTGTGACTTGTGAAGGTGTGAGTCCCGTTATATCTAAAACTAACATGTTGTCAGCGGTGTAATGGTCTGTGGCCGCTTTACTGCTTCAGTGCCTGGAAGACTGGCTGCAATCGATGGAGCCATCAAGTCTTTTCCCAGGAGTTGTGGAGAAAAATGCCTGACCATCAGATACTAAGCTTGAGCTGCAGGGAACTTGGATTGGGAAGTTATTTACAAAACTAAAGCAACAATAAGACCTGAGATGTTTGAGATACAGTATATTGACCTAAACACTGTGTTTGCACTTTAACACTGTCTAATAAAGCTAACGTAAAGCAATTTGGCCTAAATCTAAGTATGCTTAAAGACAGCTGTTTCCATGGAGGGTTGTATTAGTTCAGTTAACTCTTTTCCCCTTAAACGAAAAACGTTATTTAGAAACTACCTTTGTCTCTACCGATGTTCTCTTTGTCTATTAAATTAAATTAGTTGATGATCTATTACCCAAAAAATGCCAGAAAAGAAAAGAAGTACAGGGTACCAATAATTATTACAGAGCTGATGAATGAGAAACAAACTGCCCCTTAAATTGATTTTGTTATTTTGCATTAGACTTCATCCTTATTAGCGCCTTGCATTCACAATCATGTAGTAGGGTAATCAGGAGACCTTTGGGTCAATACAGATTAAAGACTTTGTGTTTCACAATAATTATCTAAGTAAAGTCAGTAATTAAGCATCCGACTTGATTAAGACCTTAGCAATGCTTTGGAGCTTTATCCTGAAATGTCTTGGATGACTAACCAGTCATCAGCCTGTCTCCCTCCATTGACTTTACTGCTCTACAGAACTCATTATTTCATCTAGTAAGATAATAATGTCTCCCATCAAGGTGTGTCAACCTTACAAGCAAAAAAACCCCCTTTGATTTACTTTAACCTTTACCGGCACAAACAACCTCATCGACCCCTGATGATGTGTGCGGTGCTTCTTTTCAAGCCGGTGCTCACCTCTTATTCTTGGAGAAAGTATCTGATTGGAAAAGCCATTGTCTCCCTGACCTTAACAGCAGGTCTGCGTTGGTAGTGGCTTCCACTAACATATTAAACACATAGGTTCTAGATCAATCCCGTAGTGGTTGCTGCATATTTTTAGAGCCCCCATTAGCTTGGCTCAGTGGCGTAGGCGATGCCTCCTTACGTCACTGCGGCCCGCCGGTTGGTGTGCCTGCGTAACAGAATGGGGGAATCCACCTCTTTCCCCTTCTCTCCTGTGATATGAATGGTGATGTACAGCAGAGGGGAGGGGGGTGAGGGAAGTGGAGGGTTGAGCCAGGAGGGAAGGGGTGTGCCATTATAAGAAGCCTCAGAGGAGGCACGCGTTTAGTTGTTCAAACCCTGAGCCTAAGGATACAAGCTGAGCCACCAAACTCTCCCAGCGCCTGCAGAAGGGAGGACACACACATTTCTTTACGTCATCCTCACAGGTAAGGAGAAAACTTTCTTCCATGAGAAGGGGAGCCCACCTGTTTGGGCAGAAACAAGTCTTTGCCTGCTATTCTAAAAGAGAAAAATCATTTCCTGAAGATGGGAATATTCTTGATAAGTGAAGAGGGTTTGTTTTCTGTTGGCACAATTCAAGGTGATAAACAATTTTTTATCGAGTCTGTCTTCGCTCCCTTTATGTTTTCAATATGTGACCCCTGAGGTGGTTCTGTAAACAGCCCTACCTGTTCTTTTTGTTTCCATTACTCTGTTTGTGTCCCTGTGGCTCTAAAGGTACCACCGTCACCATCATCATTACGCACACTGCACCTGATTACTACTTCATTAACAGGAAACAAAGTCCTGATGCAAAAAAAAGAGCCATACCCTATACTGGGAGCAAACAAAATCAAAAAAGGGAAGAAGATTAGAGGGTATTTTGAAATTATAAGATATCCCACTTTCCTAGATAGAGGAGTGGATTATCCAAAATAGCACCGGCAGAGGTCAATGAGCTAATCACTATGCCACCTCCTGAATCAATTTATTCATAGCCTGTTGTTGCTAATCATGGATTACCGTACGTCAGATTAAACACATAAAGAGACCGCAACAAAAGCTTCTTTATTGTTCCCAGGAGCAGCCGGTGTCAACCTGTAGTCCGGGAGAAGAGACAGAGAGAAAGGAAAAGCTTGGGAAGTGGATCTGCTGTTATTATGCTAAACACAAAATAATGATGATTGTAACGATAATGGTAATGAATGTGCATAATCTGTTCCCATTATGAGCAAAGACGATGCTCACACAGACCGGGAGAAAATGGGCGCCTAATGTGCCATTCTCAGATTAATGACTCCACACGAGGGGAATGTTGTACGGAGACTGGAATGTTTACAGGACAAAAAACAAATGTAGAGCTTTGCAAGTGAATTTAATTAACTAAATGTATTTATTTTGTTCACTTTTGGTTCTGTATTTGCATTTGATACATGCAGGAGGTGATCTTTGTAGATGCAATCCAGAAGAAAACATTTGCTTATCTTACATTTCCCAATATAAGATAAGAAATAATCTAACTTTTATATTTTTAATTAAAAAAAATATCTTTACTCTAAATTTATGAAAACACATTTAAAGATGTGTGCTCTAATAAAAAAAACACCTAAAAATGTTCTTCACACATTTATTACATGCTAAAATAGTTTTAATTATAAGCTAGGCAAAGTAAGGGAAAAGTCTATTGTTTCTTCCCCTGTATGGAGAGTAGAGATTGCTACACGCCCCTCCCCAACCTGTTGCTTTTCAGTACTCATTAGCTCTCAGACTGCTATTTCACACAAATCTTTGGAAACATTTGCTGTTGAGAGAAACACAAACAGTTATGTATGTTTTTTTTTATTTTTATTAAAAAGCCATTTTTAAAGCTACCAGCGGCTGCAGGCTGCCTCCCAGAGCAGATAGCCTGACTGGATAACCAGCTTATACTAGTTTGTTAAAAAAAATTGAAGGAGGGTAAAAAGTTAAACAGTTTTGCACAATAACTTTGAAAAGTACAACAATATTTAGACAACACTGTATTAAAAAAAAAGATAAATAAATGTTAGACATGAATTTATAACAGCTAAAATAGGATTTTAACAAAAACAAGAGGAATTTTTGCTTTTCTTTTTCGAATAAACGTGGTTAGATTGTTCTATAGATTAGTTTTAAATTTCAGTGTTCATACGGAGGAACCCTTTTTTCCCTATTCAAGGTCATTTAAACTCATATCAGGCCACCCCTGCTGCTTTCCGTTTGCCAACACTTATCACATCTCTGGGACCGCAGTCTAAACAGATTCTATAAAACATATATTCTATCATCCACCGCCTTCACCCTTGGCCTGCAAAGCTAAGGAGCTTGTCTTGGCTGAGCTAGAGTTCCTCCATGTCCAATGGATTCGTGCAGGTGTCAATGCATCTTAACAGCAACCAGATCAATGCTGACACCTCATCAGCTGCATAACTCTGCAGAATTTTAGCTGCACAGCCAGAGCTCGTACCCCAGAGCGCATCACTGCCGTCACCGCTTCACAAAAAGCCTTCCGCTTTTCCACCTGTTAGGCAGTGATTCCCCTCTGAAGGCGGACATGTGTTTTGACGTTTTTCCACTATCTTTGCTTGCATCTTTGATGGTTATTCCCCTGTATGTCAATGTTTGTCAATCCATTACTGTGTCATATCATATTATTAAAGCCAACATCATCTTCCTCTGCAGGTTTAGAGGAGGGTAAAGCATCAAAATTCACTCCACAGCACAGTGAGCCTGCTATCTCATGTAGACTCTCGTATCTAAACCATGCATCAGCTTCTGCTTCAGTTGAGGGTTTATCAGCCAAACACACAGCCGCTCTGTCTGAGATCTGCTATGCGTTTGAGTAATATTGTTTTGGGGCTATTAACCCAGCGTCGTGGGGGCCAAATGAGATGATTGTTGGTGTGATTCTCCCACCATGAAGGGCTTATCTGATGCGTTGGCTGATTGCAGGAAAAAAAGTGTTACAATTGAGCCTCTGCCCTCAGGTGCAAATGAGAGCTACCCCCCCTTGTACATCTAATGGAGGCAGTGGCAACAATATGCACATTTGGATTTTTGTCTAGAAAGGCGCCAGACATGAATTTAAGGAGCGCCATTCCCATTTAATATTTGGGATAAATGAGTGTTAGCGTAGCCTCTGTGGGAAATGAGGGAGAAATAGAGACACGGTTCGTCTTATTGCGACTCAATTTGTTTTCTCAGCAGTGCGCACAAGATGAGATTTCCTAAATAACAGCAGTGTAAGATAAAGACAGTAGCAGGGGTTGTGATTTTTCCAGCAGATATGAAGAAAAGCAGAGATTATGAGAGAGAGAGAATTAACGAGACAGAAATAATCACTGCCGAATGTGTTGGCATCATTAGAAAAGATGCTTTATGACCTGAGCTTTCTGAACCCAGGGGCCAAGACTCGCATGTGGTAACAGGTGAGGTAAGGGATGCGGTCGGACGAGCAGCTCCAGCCATGGCTGAAACACCCAAATCGGATCAGGTTCATTCGCTCAGATTTGTGGTTTCAGGAGGCGCCCAGCTAGGAAGGGCCCAACACCTCCGGTGATCATGGACGCCTGAACTCTTCATCAAGTGAGACACTTTTTATCAGTGGCTGCACAGGATGGATTTACTCCAATGATCATCCTGTGACTAACCGACTAAATCCGCCTTAAACTGAAAGCCTATAAAAAGTTGTAGGTGCAGCCTCAGTCTGGGGGTGGCTGGTTAAAAGAGAAAAACAGACTGAAGAATAAGACAAAGCAAACCTTTGTATTTCGCAGTGCGAGTAATTTTAAGATTTTTTCCTCCTTTGCAGCATTGCTTTACGAAGACTTTTAAGCAAAAAGATGGGTGATTCTTTAAGCTTTTCTAAGGTAAACAGTTGTTAAAATGATTGAAATGTGGCTGTTGATTCTGCTCCCCAAAATATAATGCTGGTTTAAAACAAATAATGGCTTTAATTTAAGTTTGTTTGAATATTATCCTATTGCTGGCGCCTGGCGGTCACAACAATATGAGAAAGTATAGCCTGCCGGAGACAAATTAAAAGCAAATGTTGACCAAGCATAAAGAAACCTCTGAGTCTGGAAAAGTATTCCTAACCTTTCAGTAGAATTTATCCCATTAAAACTTCAAGCTTCGTAAAGTATTGTGGTTTTTGTTTATTCTTCTTTGTAAAAGTAGCTCAAGCTGAGTCTCATTAGTTGGAGAGCATCTGTAAAAAGCAAGATTTTTGTTTTTCAACCTGTGAAATTTGGGTTCATACTTTGATAAAATACATACATATACTTTAGTTATATGTTTCGGGTTTCTGTCCTTTTAAATTTCGATCAGCTTTCCTGTCTCTTCTAAAGAAAAGCAACCCATCTACACCACACCGTAATGACTGTCTTGATCTCCAAATTAGGAATTTTACGTTGGGGTGTCAGTTAAACTTTGATTGATGTCATTCTGTGGGCTCATGCCGCGCGATTTTTTTTTTCCTTTTCGGGCCGACTTTCCAGTCGTGCAAGAATTTTTTTGATCGGGCAACTTTCAGCCTGATCGTGCGTCCTGCATCATGTAGTGTATGGGGGTAACAAGGGACAATTAGCCTCTCTCGACCAGCTCCCCATCAGGAATCGTGAGGTTGGGAGAAAATCAAACATGTTTGAAATTCAGTCGGCCGTGGTGTGCAAATCGCTCAGTGCACAAACAAGGATTCTTCATCCTCTCAGATGAAACACAGAAGCATGGCGGGGATGTGAGTGAAATGGAGTTCTTTCTGTAAAATTGACAGACCGTAGCAGCCATGTTTGCTCAGCCATGTCTTTGTGCAAATACGTCGTCACCTTTTATTTTTAGGGCTTTCAGCACAAAATCGCACAAAATGCGAAGGCAGCTCGTTTCACTCTAGTGAGCTACATATTCCTCTTCTACTCGTTTAGCTTCTGGATAGATGAGTCCGAGTAGCACCGTCTCACTGCGGAGCTGAGTCTGACGGGGTTTTTAGACATACAGTGTGAGCAGGTACATCGCATCAGAGTGTTGGGCCATACAGTGTGAGAACATGCATCGTGAGCTGTGAACTCACACTGTATTATGAAACTGCAGTGTTTCGTCGTACAGTATGAGCTATAGCTGCGTGCAACAATTAAAAAAAATCGCACAGTGTATGTCCGGCTTTAGTTACTCTTTTGTGCCAGTCCCCTTCCCCTAGCTCCCTTCTATCGACTTCTGTCCACACCTGCTCCCAATCACTTTATTACTCCATTCATTGTTCTGTCTGACATATATACTCCTCTGCAGGTACATTTTCCTGGATTCGCTTCATTCCCCCCTGAAGCTCTATGTTGCCCTTTATTCTTGTACCTCTGTTCCCTGGTTAGTTATTTCTGGATGTATGCTTCTGTTTCCACAACTCTTATCACTATATCTGCAAGAAACCATCTCA